CGTCTGATCACCACACATTCTTTATTGAAAATTTCTGATTTTCTTCAAATTACATTGGTTACTTACTAGCACAGGGCTAATGATATATTAATATGTCGGGCTCCTCTTTCCTGTGGAAAAAATGCAAAAATGTACAGTACTAAGGTTTCTATTAGAAAGCTTGATCACGCAGTGAAAAGACAAAACCATTCATTTTGTTCTGTGTCCTGTTAAAAACTTGTGTAGAAGATTGATGTTTTTCTGTCTGTGGTTGATTGCCATTTCATTTTCTGTCGTTGGAGACATTAAGTCGAGGTTCGTAACAAAGTTTGTTAAAATCTAATGAAGCTTACGAAGCTTTGAAAAGTTATATATTTGAGACATGGAAATTTTTAAAATGAAGACAGTTTTGTTCATTTAGAAGAAAGTGAAAACTTACTGGTGCATTATTTTCAAATTGGTAACCAGAATCAACTTGCTGGCATTTTTCCTTCTGCTGTATTTTCAAAAAAGATTTTCATCATTGTATCTTTATTGTCACTTTTTAATTAAAAAAAAAATAAACGAAAACTTTAAGTTTTCCTCAAAGGAATAGGTAATTGAAATTTTAGGTATGTATGAATTCAAATGTTTGTGAAAGAGATTTTTGTCTATTTTTTGGTGTAAAGTAAAAACATTTACAATTTGAAACTGAAAAAAATGTTTTGATTGATCATAACTGTTGATCGAAGAGGAATGCGGTTGATGAATTTCTGTGCTTATATTTATACATGTACATGTATATGTAAAATTATGTTTACTGAAACTCGATCGCATTCATTTGTGGTCATTTGTACTTGCTCACCTATAAATTCCTCTCATACTTATTATAAGTTATTCTGATAGAGAATAAAGTACTTAATTGACTTTCACATTTAAAAAAAAAAAAATTGCAATCAGTAGCCAAAGTTACTGTTTATACTGACTTATGACCCTCTTTTGGTGCAAGGTCATCTTTAATGGGCCAAGGTCAAATCAAGATTTTGATGGCTTTACATGTAAACAAATTTTCCTAACAGTGAAGGGTTCAGACATTAGTTTCTATATACATTCTGTACCAATAAAAGATGTATTGGCTCCTATTCTTGGACTTGTATCAAGGCGAGATAATACAATGTATACATAGTGTCGATTATATCTCAAATAAGTTGTGATTTATTTCCAATAGAATCAGGGTACTATTTCCTCGAAGGAAGAATGGCTGGTAGGAGATAGAAGTAGGGAAGGAGAAATTTATCAATAATGGAATTTCTGAGGAAGTATTATTGTCTGCATTTTGATTTAGGAAGGAATCTTAGAAACCTGCTCATCAGAAGCTATGATAAGAGAACTGCCGGTGGCTGTCCATCTGATTAGCTTATAGTTTGCTTACAAGAAACTGTTTCCTCTGGTCAATTACTGGCTAGTTTACGACCTTGAGTCTAATAGAATTTGGCAAAAGAAGGTTTTGCTGACATAGTTCAACAGATTTGAGCCCCCAATCTGGCAGCAAGGTTAAGTGATTCACATTCTCATAATAATTATTTTATATTATTATGTCTAGAATACTGAGTAACTAGAATTATTTGATTATCTGTGATAAATAATGCATATGTACCTAAAAGTTTATGTTGTGTACTATTACATTTGTATAATTGAATATTGCTGGGTAATTTGTGTAGTTCCGAAAGGGGTCATCCTTATAACTCGTGTGTGGTCTTCACCACGTGCTGGAAAAAAACATGTGCATGCATGCAGTAGTGATTCTTGGATCAAATATTTGATTATGGAAAGTTTTATTGGTATATTTTTAGGAAAAACTGTTATTTTCATTCGGACTGAAATAACTGAACATTTACATTTTGATTCTTAGGGAGGGGAGCCTTGTTCATGTCGTTAGTCTGTTAAATTCAAATCATGCATGCTTCACCTTCTGTGACAAAATTTGTGAGCAATGAAATTTATCTGTATAATTATGTATAACCAATTATAAAGCATGATAAAAAAGAAAGTTTACTGCGGTGTTGGGACACTTTGTAAATTCAGGCAAATGGGTACAGTCCACTAATTGTTTTCCCATAGGCGACAATGTTAACGTTTCTTCTCATAGCGATGTCCCTAATTTTCGTTCGGTAGTGAGTGACCCCTCAATTCAAAGCACATCAACTTGTCTTTCCTTGGTTAAAATCTCGAGGTGGCATGTCAGATTCGTTTTCTGGCAAAATGCGTCTGTCTGCGGGAACCTCTAAAAATGAAAGTGAAAGTAGGGGAATTTCAGAATTCTCACTGGCGTTATAATACACAAAATAATTCGGCTGATCTTCTTGATAAATTACATTTTCAAAGCTTTTTTAGCAGGAAAGATACTCTTTATCAACAAGTGTGAGGCTCAGTTCAGTACACCTGCCCAATTTTTTTTATGCAAGTCTGCAATTTAAGGAACTTGTAATTTTTTCTGCACTACTTTCTTCTCCTACCGATTCTAAAAATAATTAGTGGGATGTACCCAATACTATAAAAAGCATTTTTTTGATTTTACTATATTTCACACTGTTTGTCAATCTAGAGCATAAGTAGAGACATCATGCCAAGTTTCATGAAAATTCAACAATTAATTAAGATTTTACAGCATTTACAGTTCTATGTGTAATATCCTTTAAAAATGCTCCAATCTAGCCAAAACTGCACCCAAGTTTTGAGTCAAATTTTAGCCTATGAACACATTTATACCATTCTTAATCACCTTCATATCTTTAAATACATATAGTCAAATCATAATCAAGCACTTAATTGGGTCAATTTTACTTATTTCAAAAAATTAATGTATTTCCGCACAAAATATGACCACTTTTCACCCTCTAATTCATAGTTTCTCCAGAAATGACAAAAAAATGAAGTTCACAAATACCCCAAAAGTAGTAAAATAAAAAAGTACTGATTATTTCCTGCCCATTGATGTATCATTCATGAAATTTGGACTATGAATGAAAAAGTTATAAGCCTTTATAATCCTATATAGAATCATTTGTTTCAAAGCAATTTTTATACCAATGCAAATTTACTCATCTATGACGTCACAATGACATCATAATAATGGATAGCTCAATACATGTGTATCATTACTTTTCCCGTACTTTTCATTTAAGACAAAATCAGTGCTTATATACTTTTATTTACTTTAAAAAATAAAAATATGTGGTGTTGCAGATTAAATAAATAGTTCACTAAAGTTGTTTTGTTTCCATGGTAACCATTTTGTAATTTGTAGGAAAATGAGACAAAATTTTGAATTTCCTGACAAATCACATAATTTTGACTGTCAAATATTCATGAAATTTCAATTCTTATATCCGTGTAATCTTAATAATGCATAATTTACAAAACAAAGATGTAGATCTAATTAATTTGAAAATCTTAAATAAGAAAAGAAAATCTATATGAGCTGCAAAATGTATATAGCAGTGCATGTACAGATTAGTTATAGCTAAATACTTTCACATTCTGATCACCTATTTAATATGTAAATTTTCTCACCCCCCCCCCCCCCCCCCCCCAGTTCAATGAAATTTTTTTTGTTAGAAAACTTAAACTTACATATTTTGCCGACTGTCACATTTTGCTGGTTCTTTTTCAAGATGTATTCAAATGGGTGTGCATTTGCTGGCCAATAGTTTTAAACACCATCTGCATGGACCTCATGTTTTTCCTGTACCAATCACCATGAACCTTAAAAAAAATCAATACAATAAATGGTACAATATCACATCTGCAGACAGACAGACACACAGACATTCAACACGTACAATTTAACCATATTCCTTTTATGCCAATTACTTGAAATTAATTAATTTAAAAAATGATTAATTTGCTCCCACCTGAAATCACACTGTTTACATTGGTAATTAAGTTAATTCAGCAGAATAGGTGAAAATCATGTTTTACTGACAATAATTGAACATTCAACAAATACATGTAATGCAATTGCTAAAAAATATGAGAAAAATCAGTTAATGTGCATGTTCACCCACATCGTTTAACTCCCAGACAACTGTTAGCAGCTTGACCGCGCAACTGATCTGAAATGATGTATGTCAAGTATGCATATGTGATGTGCCGATCATCGACATGTTCCAAAAACATTAATTTGTTATTTACAAATATTGTACTAAGGTATACCTCTTACCTCCAGTGTAAAATACAAATGCCCATCACCTATATACTGCTTAACACTGCCCTGAACAGTTTTGATAACTTTCTGCTAAGTCTACTTTCACTTCGACCTTGACCCCGATTGAATACCGATCCCGAACTCATTTGTGAATTTTTGTGTATTGAAAATAAACCACAGTGGAGCATGTACTTCTACATAATAGCTTCTTAATCAAATTATACATTTACGATTCTGAATAAATAAATTATATAAATCGATACATTTAATCTACATGATACATGTGTAAACAATGGGTGATACATGTTGACTGTTGGGGGGGGGGGGGGGGGATAGACACTTTATTTATGAATCAATTTGTTTAAAAATGTGTATCAACAATATAAGAATTGTTTTTTTCATAAATTTGAACAATTGAAAATAATAGAAAACAACAACTTTGAAATAAATTCAAGATTTATGACATCTTTCACTTACTTATAGGCTTCCTAATATGGGTACAGTCCACTAATTGTTTTCCCATAGGCGACAATGTCAACGTTTCTTCTCATAGCGATGTCCCTAATTTTCGTTCGGTAGAGAGTGACCCCTCAATTCAAAGCACATCAACTTGTCTTTCCTTGGTTAAAATCTCGAGGTGGCATGTCAGATTCGTTTTCTGGCAAAATGCGTCTGTCTGCGGGAACCTCTAAAAATGAAAGTGAAAGTAGGGGAATTTCAGAATTCTCACTGGCGTTATAATACACAAAATAATTCGGCTGATCTTCGTGATAAATTACATTTTCAAAGCTTTTTTAGCAGGAAAGATACTCTTTATCAACAAGTGTGAGGCTCAGTTCAGTACACCTGCCCAATTTTTTTTATGCAAGTCTGCAATTTAAGGAACTTGTAATTTTTTCTGCACTACTTTCTTCTCCTACCGATTCTAAAAATAATTAGTGGGATGTACCCAAATTGCAGCCTTCAGATTGAATTGAAGAGACTTGCTGTTATTAGGTACCTTTCTATGGCCATGGGGATTCATATTTTATACATATAAATATAAAAAGAAAAAAACATAGGTGCTGCAATTACTTTTATAACAAGGGGAAAAAAAAATAACCAGCTCTGTATATATGTACAGCCATAATTATATATTATATAGCTGAATTTTTCTGTAAACTATAGAAACTCAACATTAGTAAGAATAATATTTTTGTATAAGAAGGTTTGTTTAGCTGATATATAATTTTAGGAAATACAATCCTAACAAGGTTTTCTACTATACAGGATATAAATGAGGGTATTATGTTGTAAAGTTGCCTTGATGGATGATATACCAGAAGGGCCTGGATTAGGACCAACAACTTTCAAGGTCCAATGTTTCTCTTCTCCCATGGAGTTAATAAAACCTAACAGTAAAAGATGTTTATTATATAGTGAATTTACGACTGGGACAACTTTTGCTTAATTTGTTATTTCTATAAATCATAATAATTTATTAATTTGGCATGTGTAGCATTGAAGTGATGAGAACATTTAAAGAAACTAATGTTCAAAGTTGTCTTTGTGTACATACATGTGGGTAACAAGATAAGCTAGGTCATATTGTTTTTAACTGAGGATGTCAGGATGGGAAATGTGAGGAAATTAGACAGGAAACATTTCAAAAAGGAAAGAAGGAAGTGAAATAGGAAAGCCTTATCTCCTAGGGTTTTTTTTGAAGAAACTAATTCTTGAAATGACACAATCATAAACAAATGATAAAGGGTATATTATATTTCATATGTGGAAAATATTAATGACGCATAAACATATGATAAAGGTATTAGTTTATATATATTTCATATATGGAAATTATTAATTTTTCCCCCAATTTCTGTATGTCAGCTTTATTACAGGTAAAATTTGGTAATTACATGAAATACGTTTTCTATTCTTTTGCTGTTTGTTAAATTATTGTACTTGTTTGATCAAAATTTTTTTTATACATGATTGCGTGCATTTATAATACAAATCTTGTCGAAATTTTCTTTAATTTTGATATATCCTTATAAAAAAAAACATGATACTAAGTTTATGAGTAAATACTGATAAAGGTTACCCATTTAAAAATATTGATCTTGGTCACAGTTGTATACCTTGTGATTTGTTGACTGCACTCGGAATTGAAGGCAGGTGCATTATTTGGGTAGACATTATTGTTTATTTTGTACGATTATCAACCGTTTGCTAATACTGCTGCAGATACATGTTAGATAATAGAGTAATGTCAGCTATCTTCTGTACAAGCAGTGTGTTATTTATCCTGAGTGGAAAAGTCCAGACAACTACAAAGATTAAAACTTGCTGTGTTCAAGTGGTCATTATCAGTAAGGAAGTTTTATTCATGTGTGATTGCATGTGATTTGAATAATCGAATGTAGAGGACTTACCTTTTCCTTTTCTTTCCTTGTGAGATTTTTTTTCTCTCGCACATTTGTTGGCTTGATTGCCACAATAGTTGGACAGGGAACATTTTCTCTACATAGGAAATAATTAATGGTATTGTGTCGAACTTGATGTCGTATAAGGGAAACTTGATGTTCTCTGGGATATTAAGAGAGTTTAATACACTGTCATATTTTTCTCTCTCTCTTCTGTCCTACAGGTTACCATAGCAGCATTATAATGAAGAGGAAAGGAATCTGATAGCATGGATCATACAAGTGTTTGGATGAATGCAGATCAACAAGAGCCGTACAATACATACTCCTAATGGCTGATAGGCCCACTCTACAGGAATTGGAGAGTCTCACCCTTCCAGTGCCGGAGGAAGATGTCGGAACTCCTGGAAACGTAAGTCAAGTTTCCTCCGTGTCTGCTCATAGTCGCTGCCTACTCGTCAAGGGAAACACGCAGCGAGACATTTACATACAGCAGGGCCTCGAGTTCAGTCGGGGTGAGGACACTCGATTTGGTATCGGAAGATGGAGGCCTCAGTGTTTACAAAGATGCCTCAACATCAAGGCATTTGTGGTGTGTATGAGTGTGCTTCTGGCTGTCTCAGGGACCTTGTCAACAGGATATTTGAACAGTGTGCTTACAACAATCGAAAAACGGTTTGAAATTGGTAGTTCTATCTCTGGACTTATCGCAGCATCCTATGAGTTTGGTTCACTGGTGGCAGTTGTGTTTATCAGTTACTTGGGAGGGCGACGTCACATTCCAGTATGGATCGCAACGGGCATCTTTTTCATGGGCCTCGGAGCATTCCTGTTTACTCTGCCTCACTTTATTGCCGAAAAATATACTGTGTATCGAGGTTTATCCGTCAATAACACAGAAGAAAACATATGTAAAATTAACAGTGGTTCCTTGGGGGATGGGTGTATTGACAATGACTCAGGGAATTGGATGTACGTTTTAATTCTGATATCCGCCCAGATAATGATAGGCACTGGCAGTACCCCAATCCTTACCCTGGGAACAACTTATGTTGACAATCACGTCCATAAAGATAAAGCTCCAGCATATTTAGGTAAGCATTTTTTGGATAAGTTAAACATTACATAAATGTTGCATGTAATCGAGTGTAACATTACAAATTTTCACCCAGAGAAAACTATTGTCAACGGAGGTAAAGCCATGGTAAACAATGGTTTTCAAGTGTTGAAAATTTTCAATGTTCACTCAACTACATGATGCTGTTTTATTATAATATACTGAGAGTTTTATACAAATACAGTGAGCCTTGCATGCATAAATTCCGAAAAGTTGACATTTTTTTGAATGCATGTATCACCCTTCGTCAAGCAATGTTGACTCTTGGTATGCTGAAGGGCCTGGCTTCAATATTTAGCAGATAATAGAAACTAATAATGTTTTTTAACAAATGTTTCTCAACAAACCAGATTCAACTTATTTACATAAAAGTATAATACTAGTAATTAGTTATTATTACTAGCTATTCTGAAGTTACATCTTTGCCAAGTTCCACTGAGATTGGA